CCCCCTCCCCGTCTCTGTCTTACAGTAAACCAACCAACAAATTGAATAAATAAGACAACTTGGAAATTTTCTAAAGAGAATGCGTCGTAGACAATTCGGTTTTGCCTTTGCCTACAAATTTTTTAAGTTCACCCCGTTCGTGTCCTGCTTCCGTGCTGTACTGTAAAAAACTAAACCAACTATGCTCAGCAACAAGCTTCAAAGTATATGCAGTAAGCATAATCTTTTATTACGAAACCAGTTCCTCGTAAGCATTTTGCACTTTGCAGAGCGACCCCCACTACCCGTCGCCCCAGCTCATGCTCATGACGCTCACCCCCATTACCGGCCTCGCCTCATTGGGTGTCTTGGCTCGTTGGCAAATGATTTCACAAGCGAGTTCACAAGCGGGCCGAGCTACGGTCGGGCTTGCCTTGGTGCTGGGGCCGCCACATCCGGCAGCCCGGCCAGCCCCAGAGCCGTGTCGTGCCCTGCCTCACCCCCCAGATCTGCTCGCCCGAAATTCTGCGCACCTTCACCAGCACCTCCACACTCCCGCACGACCACCACTGGCCGTTGGTATTTCGCTTAAAGATGCTCTATGCGACCTTTTCCATCCTCTTCCGGAGCTGCCATGTACATCAGGGCTGTTTGTTCTGCGAAAAGAAAGAAAAGTGTTCCAACAGGTGGGGGTGGCGGGATCCCCCCTCCCCTCCGGGCCGGAGCGCGTGCCTCCGACTCGCAGCTGCGGCCACGGTTGCTGACGGCAGCCCCCACCACCGCCACACCGTGAACTCGGCCCGTGATCGTGGATAATTGACAGACTTCCTCAAAGCTATCTTGGCGGAGCTGCTTTCTCCCCATTTGGCCCATTCAAGGTGTATCGTGGGGAGGGGCGTTTAAAGGGAGTCCCGCTGCGCCACTAGCCGCTGGGGGGAGGCTCTAAAGGGCGCGCGGAAGGGGTCCGGTGAAGTAGTTTGGCGGCCAAAGAATGCCGAGGTGAGGGGCCGGGCCACCAGTGATTTACAACTTTTCTCAAGTCTGGCAGCAGCAGTAGCAGCAGCGGCAGCAGCAGCGGCAGGCAAAAGCCGCGCTACCGTGTTATTTATGCTCAGCCACCCTCTGCCTCATTGCTGCCCCGTCACTCCCGCGCGTGTCCACGTCCATCCAAACGCTTCTGCCCCACAAACACTTGAAACTTGGGAAACGGTTATTTTTATTTCCTAATGAGCATTATTTCCTAGTCAGTCAAATGTTCCTTAACTGGTAAACAATTTTAAACAGTATTTTCTTTTCAAAAAGTTCAACAAATATCGAAGTGAAACTTTTGAGTAAAATCTTTCTGCCGTAAAATTCTTGTCCGGTCCACTGTTTCGCCCGGTTTCCCTCCTCCGTCTCGCGCCATTCTCGCTCATTCCGTCTTCGAGAGGAAACATTTTTGTCGTCCCGCTTCTCACATTAATTGGCCAGTGTGTCTGGGCCGCGCCACCTGCCGCCGGACGGCCGATGGTAAATGGCCGCAGTGCTGAGATCTGACAGAGATGAATAACTGGGACCCGCGGGAGCTGCTCAGCTCGCTGGGACGGATGCATGGACGGGCATCGAGAGCTAGGCCTGGCCGGCATACCAGACCCATAAAACAAAAATAGTATAATTTTGTTTGTTGATTTTCTTGTCTGTTGTTCTTGTAACGAGTTTCCCTTGCCCCGTAGCAAGGTTATCCGCGCGCACAGTTTTTACGTTTTCACCGCTTTTACTTCGTCCGGGACGTCCGTCTGCCGTGTATACAGCCGGTAATAAATTGTGGTGGGCGTTGTTTTATGATGTATTCGCGAAGTAAGTCCCGTAATTTGGTTTGGCGTGGCGCGCCGGGCGGCCTGTGGCCTGGCGCAGGGCCAGAGTGAATAGAGGGGGGGGGGGGGCATCAGCCCATCTCGAGCAGATCTGCTGACACTGGAAATAATTCATGTGTATCCACATACGCCCTTGGCGGCCACCGCCTTCCTCCCCTCACAGAAGAGCGAGTGCGAGCGAGAGTCGTCTGGCGCTGAATGATGAATGATGATGAATCGCAAACGGAAAACGGAATAACAGGATGAAGAATAAAAAAAAAGTCTATACCCGCGCACCCTGATCTCTCATTCCTAGCCTCAAAAAATGAGAGGAAAACGCGGCCTTGTTGCGAGAAGCCTGTCACTTCCGGCATCGATCAGTCTAATGCCGTGGCGTCCGGTATGAATGGTTGGTAGATGGATTGGTGACGTAACGCCTGTTTACAGTCACACTGTGATATTACCGCAGTAATCTTTAATAACAACGGCACGAGCTCGGAAGAAATAACATTTCCGCATCCCTCTTCTTTCAACAGGGATGACAAAAAAAAAAGAAAAGAAGATAAACCCTAAGCTCATCTCAATGGTAAAGCACTCTCTCTGCTCCCTGCCGCAAGTTATTGGCTTACACAGGCCTAGAAGTGCCAGTAGTCGGTGGCAAAACCTCTTTCTTTCTACCCCGCCCCTTCCCTTCTCTCTCCGACAACCAGAGTGGGACTTCCCCATCCGCCCGCCTCTCTCGCTCTCTCCCTGCCCCCCACTCCCTCTCCCAATCTGCCGCCGTGAAGTCCTCATTTCCACCAAATCCTCCAGCTCCCCAATGTGGACTGCGGAGAGGCTTACTGCCTGCCTCACCGCCCATCCCCATCCCTCTCTCTCTCTCTCTCTCTCTGCGCTCATTTTCTGAGAACTTTACCCTAAATAATAAGTCCTCTGCCCCCACCTCTCCCACTGCATTCAGTGTCGATTGCTTTCCACCGGCCGGGGATTAACGACATGGTCGCGGGCACCGCCAGGGACACAGGCACGGGCTGCAGCACCGCGCCAGCTGAAAGAGCGAAGCAGGAAAAAAAATTCAATGAGAGTCGTCGAGAAGCCCACGCTCTGGCCCGCACTGGTGCTGCCACTGGGGAACGGGAACGGGCGCGCGTGCGATGTCCGCGTATCCGAAGTCCTCGCTCCTCCTCGCGCCGAGTGAGTGCTTTCCCTTGGCAATGATTCAGTGGAATCGACACGCATGGGAGTTAGAGAAAGGGAGAGGAGGGTGGAGGGGGAGGGGGGTCAGCTGCGGGAGGAAGGGGGGAGGGGATCACAGGGATAAAATGCGCTCTGCTGCTTAGGATTCCGGAGCTGCACGTCTCTCTCTGTCTCTCTCTGTCCCTCTGCGTCTCTCTCTGTCTCTTTCTCTCTCTCTCCCCTCTCTGGATCCAAAATTCTAGTGTAAACAGAGAGCCGGCAGCAGAAGCAGGCTGGCCCGGTCTCAGGGGCGAGGGACCTCTGTCGCCCCGCTCCCTCTACGACTGTTGTTGTTCTTCTTGCAGATGAATATTTGAGCGGAAGGGCGGCGCGGAGGGGCTGCCGGCCGGGATATCGCATATGGATAGAGCGACAGACGCACGGAGTGTTTGCTGAGCTCTCCGCGCGGCTAATCGCGAGCCGATATTATATTGGATTCCTCAATCGACCGGAAATGAGAGCGGAGAAGCCACACGGCGTAAAGGCGGGGAAAAGCAAAATTCGGAAAGTGTGGTGAAAACAAATAAAGAACAGTCACTACACCGCAAAACGACACCAAACACCTCACCAAACACACAAAAAAAGCCCTTAAAAGGAAACTATTGAAAACTTTTTTTTTGCTGCGTAACACCAGTAGGCCTTTCACTTCAGGCCTTTTCACTTCGGCTCCCGATATTTATCTTGTGTCTCGGCCACACCGATGGGCCCCGACAGGTGAAGGCCTGCTAGTGCTCTCCGACCGCCACACTTACCTCGTTCGACGGGCCGCTGATGAGACCGTTTCTTCCTTGTTGCAGGAGAGGAGCCCTCCACGCCAATGGGATCTTGACATCGACTAGAGTGAGTAAGAGAGTTGTGTGTCTGCCCGCACCGCTCTTGAGCCGAGGAGCGCTTTCTTTCTTTTTTTTTATTTCGACGGCGGCCATCACCTCAGTGTTGTCTTCCAAAGCGGCCATTCTTCGCAGAGGCCTCCCTTTTGTTTCGCCCCCTCTGGAAAAGCCTCGGCCGCTCACTTTTTTGCAATCTATTCGCTGGTTGCGCAGCGGATGTCGTTCTGCTCTTCCGTCTCGCGCTGACTTGCATCTCGGGAAAAGGGTTCCCTAGTCATTTCGGGCCACTCGGACAGCTATGACCCTTCTCTTTTAATCTGAAAGCGCGCCCCTCACTCACCCTACTGTTATTGCGAAGCCGGTGGCTTTCGAGGTCGTCTTATTATTCCGCTCCCTTCTGTTCAAAAGGGAGAAAAATGTGGCCCGCACGAATCCCCGGGCGCTCAAAACCCGGCAGATTGTCATCTTATCCGCGATCAGCCTGCCAGTCGGCCGCGGGCGCGGAGCGGCATTCCCCGGCCCGCCGTGGAGACGACCTCTCTTGTTGTCTCTAAGCAATCTGGCCTTCAAGTATCCAGGGGCGGAAAGCGGCGGCCAATTTCCTCGTAGATTAGGCCTCAGTCAAGTGTTGTTTGCAGGGCAGCTGGCCGCGGCATGTTCGGCGCCGCCCGCCCGGGGGTGAGGCGCTACCCCCGGTCGTCGTGGTGGTTCCACCTACCGGTCGTCTGCCTCGTGCTGGTGGCGCAAGCGCCCTTCGGCCTGCAGGACAACACGACGGCCGTCCTGGTGGACGACGTGGACCTCTGGAACGTCACGCTGCCCGGGGCCAACGACACGCTGTTGTGGCCGGAGGGGCTGCTGGAGAACGCGTCGACGTGGACCCCGAGCGAAGACGTTGAGACGTCCCCGTCGTTCACCCCAGACGATGACATTACGGACACCTCGGAGGCCACGACACTTATGGATGGCATGGAAACTGTCCCCGACGTGCCTGACGATCCCCCTGAGGCCATGATGGTGGCGGACGAACCCTGGCCGCCGGACGAGAAGGACTTCGCGCAAGTCGTGTTCTCCAACAAAGCCAAGCCAGTCAAGGACGCCATACTCTTGCTGCGAGAAAAGCTGCGACGTCCCGACCTCGTGGTGAGCTCCACCATCCTGATGAAGCCCCGTCCGAATTGCCAGACATTTTAATTGAATCTTTCCGTCTTTTCTTTAGGTTCCCGACGACGACGACGACCAGGCCGTTCACGGACTGCAGGTACTGGACCGGACGGCTGACCCGGCGATAGTCGCGGGCGGTGGCGTCGGCGTCGTGGAGCAGGGCGCCGAGTCCCTCGTCCTGGACGCCTCCGCCCAGGGGCCGGGCGGCGTGTCCGTCGCCCTCCCTCCAGGAGGGCTGGGCCACCTGGACGACGACGACCACAACCCCAACGCGACGGGCAACGGCACGCTGCACGGCTGGCCCATGAAGCTGGCCTCCGTCGTGGAGGGCGACCTCGTCCTCGGCGGCCTCATGATGGTGCACGAGCGTCACGACCGCATCACGTGCGGCCCCATCATGCCGCAGGTAAGGGCGGGCGGGGCGAAAGTCGCGCACACACCCTCGGGGAGATAGAGCGAGGGGTCCTTCACTCAATGAAAAA